ATATCTATCAATGTCCATATCAATGCTCAGTAGTATCAATACTAAATCCAGTTCGTACAGACGAACTGCACTAAAAAAAATCAGCTTTTTGAAGGGTTTTACAAACAACAACAGCCAACCTGCTATCAACTGACCCCAGCCACCACCATAAACAAGACCAAACACAGTAAACAGAGCACTGGAAGGACGACCATATAGAAACTACAAACCGGAAACATAAGGCACTCTATTCTTATCCAAATTAATCAAGCCTTGAATATGAACAGCTAGATTCATGAAAGATAAATCAATAATATCATTAAACTTACTACCAAACAGAGCCATCGCTCGGGCAGCAGAATTAACCACATGAGAAACAACATTATAAGAGCAGTTCATAGAATATAGGAAAAACTTAATATTTCTGTGGGTATAAAAAAGAGAATGCCCACAGCTGCTACCATCCACACCCAACAAGTCTTTAAGATCCACGTTGAAATTACCTTCCAAAACAATACTATGAATATCCAGACTAGCACAAAGATAAAGCCCGTGAAAAACAACCAACAAGATACCACCCAGCTTGTCAACAGCACCTGTTTTATCAGCAAAACCCAAAATATAAACCCCATTAAAGTTCCTAATTAAGCCACCAAGGCACCAATTATTCCCATCCAAAACAATATCAATATTCAGTTTAAAACAGTTGACATGAGGGCAAGACCAAAATAAAATCCTATTCATCGGGTTTGGCTGGGGACAATCTGGATTAATCCCAAAACCATCCAAAGTAAATAAAATCTTATCAAAGCTTTTATATGATATAAGATGAGCAGTAAAAAGAGAAAAAATCTTCTCCTTAATTTTAAAAATAATACTTTGATGATCCATCAAATTACTATTAAACCGAGAGTCATTTCTAGCCAACCAAATAAACCAAACAATAAGAAGAGGGATTACATTCCGAATATGACCCTTAACACAAACCATCCAGTCCTCAAACAAATTCAGCACAGAACAGTTAGGACCCCAAAAATTAACTTGAAATAAGTCCTCAAAGTAACTCCACACCTTAACAACAATAGGAGAAGAAACAAAAACATGCTGACGATTCTCAACATTAGAGCAACATTGACATTTAGAAGTAATAAACAAACCTCTATTTTTAAGAACGTCATCCGTAGGAATAAACATCTTGAGGATCCTCCAATTAAAAACAGATACAGTGGTAGGAATGCTCTTGTGCCACATCATTTTAAAAGGCTTGGAAGAAGCCTTTATGTTTCTAAACACGTGCCAAGCTTCTTTAGTAGAGAAAAGACCATCTTTAGTAAAAGTGCAAAGTAAAACATCTTTAGCAAAACAATTAATAGAAATGTTAGAAATCAAGTTAATAATAAAAGCCGGAATAACAGAAGAGAGTTTGTCCACATCCCAACCAATATCAGAAAAGAAAAAAATTTGACCTTAACCGAACTCAATGAATTAGAGTTAAGGAGAGCATCAAGAGAGAAACCATAAATCCAACGATCTTGCCAAAAGAAAATGTTCCCCTCCCCAAGCCCCCAAGCTAAACAAGGCTCAACTTTCCACTTAATCTGAACCATACGATGCCAAACTTTAGAATTACCTTTAGAATAAAAACAATTAGAAGGATGGTAGACCCCATAATACTTGACCCTCTGAAATTAGCCCACAAAGAAATATTAGCCCTTAAATTATACCACAGTTTAAAGGAAAAGGCAGAAGCCATATCAGTCATGGACTTACAACCAAGAGCACCTTCCTGAGTAGTCCTACAACAATTATCTCAGGACGACCAATGAATTTTAGAACTGCTAGAGGAACCCCTCCAAAAAAATTTATTGAGAATTCTATCAATCCTCAAACACACCATCTTAGTGGGAAACAACACTTGAAAAGAATACACCGGAATAGAGGGAAGCACACTTTTGATAAGAACAAGCCTATACCACCATAACTCAAAAACTATACAATGCTTTATGGTGTAGAATGTTGGCTATTTAAAAAATATAATATTAAGTGTTGTAGAGGTGCGAATACTTAGGTGGATGAGTGGCTTTGCTCTTAGAGATGGGATACGAAACAAGCATATATGTGAAAAGGTTGGAGTAGCTCCAGTGGAAGATAAGATTAAATAGAGTTGTTTTAGATGGTTTGATCACATAAAATGACTGTTCGATAACCCCATTAGAAAAGTAGATGCATTAGATTTGATTTATGTTAAGAAAAGTAAAAGTTGACCTAAAAAGACTTGATTAAAAAATATTAGAAATTGTCTTTAAATTTGATCCTCGATAAGACATAATGGAGAAAAATGATTCATGTAGCCAATTTCACGTAGTTGAATAAAAGGTTGATGTTGTTGTTGATAAAAAAAGTGATTCCAATTATACCCTAAACAAACATGTTGAAAAAATAAATAAAATTGAGTTTATATTTTTTATCGATCACTGGTGATAATATAATTTCTTGATCAGGAAACTGAATTGAAATAAATTATCTTGATAGTATTCATTTTAAAATAAATTTACTGATTCAATAAATTAAAAATACATCTTAATATAAAGTATATCATGATATCCGGTCTATTATTTAAATTAAATTATTGCCAGTTAGTCAATATCCCGAGAAACTTTATTTTATCTTTGTAGAACATGACTAATTAAATGTGATATATATATATATATATATATATATATATATTTTTAAAGATATTCAAAATATTTAAAGTTATTTTGAGATTTCTAAAAATTGATTTATATTAAAAAATAAAAAAAATAGTTAAAATCATACTAAACAAATACCGTTTTAAGGAAACCATAAAAGTGAGCCCAATTCTACAATGCTTTATGGTGTAGAATGTTGGCCATTAAAAAAAATATAATATTAAGTGCTGTAGAGGTGTGAATGCTTAGGTGGATGACTGGCTTTGCTCTTAGAGATGAGATACTAAACAAGCATATATGCGAAAAGGTTGGAGTAGCTCCAGTGGAAGATAAGATTAAAGAGAGTTATTTTAGATGTTTTGGTCACATAAAACGACTGTACGATGACCCCATTAGAAAAGTAGATGCATTAGATTTGATTTATGTTAAGAAAGATAAAAGTCGATCTAAAAAGACTTGGTTAAAAAATATTAGAAATTATTTTTATTAGATTTAAATGAGAATTTGATCCTTGATAAGGCATAATGGAGAAGAATGATTCATGTAGTCAATTTCACGTAGTTGAATAAAAGGTTGATGTTGTTGATAAAAAAAGTGATTCCAATTATACCCTAAACAAACATGTTGAAAAAATAAATAAAATTGAGGTTTTTTTTTTTATCACTGGTGATAATATAATTTCTTGATAAGGAAACTGAATTGAAATAAATTATCTTGATATTATTCATTTTAAAATAAATTTACTGATTCAATAATTTAAAAATACATCTTAATATAAAGTATATCATGATATCCGATCTATTATTTAAATTAAATTATTGCCACTTAGTCAATATCCCGAGAAAACTTTATTTTATCTTTGTAGACCATTACTAAATGTGAGAAGATATATTTTAAGTTTCAGATCCATCGTATAAGAGTGTATGGGTAAATTTCTGATTAAATCACCCTAAAAAGCATGATTTAAATCTTCTAAATAACCAGGAGACAGCTAAACTTGGGAGATAGTCTGCGCACAATGGTAAATCGATGTTTTTTTTTTGCCAAATTTAGGTTTCGTTTGGGGCAGATTTTTTAATGCTTCTTAAATCAGCTTTTTAATATAAAAATATAATTTTTAAACTAAAAAATTGTTTTAAGAAACAATAAAAAAGCCGTATATCTTATTGCTTCTTAAAGCAGTTTTATAATATAAAAGTTTCTTTAAGAAGCAAAAAGAAAACCGTTTCAAACGAAGCCTTAGTTTTCAATGAGGATTTTAAGTAGCAGTTAATTTCTTTCAGCAACCTAATAAATATTCCCAAAATCTATATACGCATTACATGCTGTTGTACATGAATGGTTTTTTTTTTTTTTTTTTTCTCAAAAGGTTAAATATTTCTTTTGTAAATTGGCTTCCATTCGTCCAACTATGCTTCTTTGTTGAAGATTAGTTTTGCTGCTTCGTCTAGCGTTCAAACTGTATTTGTTATAGTTGTTTTTTTTTTCCATCCAAGAAAATTTCCATTCTTAAAATACTGACTCTATATATAGGTAACTCTTTATATTATATTAATATCTGCCAGTTGTTTTGATAGCTTTGGGCATTTGGTTCTATTCATTACCTGACACAGTCGACGAGTTTTTTTTTTTAGGTTGCTTTTCACTTGCATTTCCTACACATAAGGAGAATTATAAAAAAACACATTATTTGATGTTGGCACATCTTTTTTTAATTATACTCTCAAGAAAGGTAAAAAACAATATAGATTCTTGTTTATCATTGAACCATGATGAGGCGTCTCTCTCAATATTCTGTGCAAGACCGGATGCAGAACGTAATCCAAAGATCAACTAAAATGAGACACATCAGCAATGGATGATGTAGCGTATTCTAGTTGATCTCCAGATGACATTCGATGTCCGCACATAATAATTAATCCTTGCGATGCGAAGGAAAAACAAAACACATTCATAAATATCAATCTCATCTAGGAAGAGGATATGCGCTTGCCATTGATGCTTCATCTGTCCTTTCTTATGACTCATGAAATTACTGTTACAAATCTAGAGTTCCCCATATTTCTTTTTTACTCTAGCTTTTATTAACTAATGTACAGGAAGATCTTGGAGTTGTCTATGGACAAATTAATCTTCATCATATCTTTTAAAATCTCAATCAAATAATTGTAATAAATAGAAATCTAAATTATCTATTGTACTCCATAACTTCAACAAGATTCTAATTTGGTTCAAAAAAATTACATTTCTAAAAATATAACCAAAGAAATTTGCATTGGTCCATAAAAAACGGAATACTAAGTTTTTGGAATGCTAATTAACCACATATTATAAAAATAAAAATAAAAAATATACCGATTATTATGGGACCACAACAGAAGACAATAGTCGGTGGAAAGAATACAATTGCATAAGAACAGTTCTAAGAAACTATAAGGCGGCAAACAATCAGTAAGGAGACGAATTATAATCAGTTCAATATAAAACTGAGCACTAAAAGTTTACAAATCAATATGTAAAGTAGGCGGTAAACTTATGAAGAGCAGCAGGTGGACTTTTGGTTGACAGGCTGTCCACGGATTTGAACTGTTGGAGGCCTTGCGTTGTTCATTGCTGGCTGACTCGCCATCCTGAGACAAAAACCATAACAGATTATACAATAGCCTCATAAATGAATATGTTAGACCGGTTCATTGGACCAGCCCAATTGGTCCGACGGGACGGCTTATGCGAACAGAGGCGGAAATGTCCGCCTCCTATACGCGCCGAATGCTGTTTCAGAAGGATTTTTGAGGGAGTTAGGAGGGAAATTTGAATGTAGGGACTGTTTAGGAATTTCCTTTTGATCAAATAGTCTGTTTTCCTAGTGTTAGGGCATTTGAATTTGGCTGAAATTTGATATCTTTTAGGTTTTCTTTGGATTCTAGCGGCGTTTAGAGATTGGGAGAGATTGATCTTCCTCTCGAATAAAGGATCAATTGCATCTTGATATTTTTTGTTTCCCTTTCATCAAATGGTACAAATTATCTACTATTTTTCTGGTTTTGTGTGGATTTTTTGTGGAGAAATCTCGCAGATTTTCGAAGATTGATAGAAAATACTTGAGATCTTCGAGTGTTTCCTATCAGAATCCTTTTCTTTTTATAATTCAGACTAGGGGTGTTAATTTCGGGTCACATGTCGGGTTCGGGTCGAACCCGAAACTGACCCGGCACTATTCAACCCGAACCCGACCCATTTTTAAAAACGGGTCGGTTTTCCAGACCCGAATTCAACCCGCTTCTGGTCCGGGTCAACCCGACCCAACCCGAATGACCCATTTTCAACAAAAAATTGCTAATTTTCGGGTAAAAAATGGGTCAATCTCCTCTTTTCGGGTAAAAAATGGGTCAATCTCGGGTTGCTGGGTCAAAATCGGGTTTTCGGGTCAAAATCAGGTCACTTTCGGGTCAATTTCGGTTCAAAGGGTTAACCCGAACCCGACCCGATTTTTGAAACGGGTCGAAATGTTGAACCCGAACCTGACCCGTTTGGGGTTCTGGTTGACCTTAACCCAAAATTTTCGGGTCGGGTTCGAGTCGGATTTTCGGATCGTATCAAATATTGACACCCCTAATTCAGACAACTCAATTTCTCTTATATCTCTAAAGCCTATGGATTACGTGTAGTAGCGCATTCAAATTCAAATAGAGTTACTTCATTAAAATTTCATAATAATCTCATAGTTGCATATATATAAAAGAAATAAATACCTGTTCTTGATATCTGCAGCCATGGCCATGAAAGCCTGCTCAACATTAGTAGCATCCTTAGCGCTGGTCTCCATGAATGGTATTCCAATCTCATCCGCAAAGCTCTAATACAACATGTAAGCGCTACTAGTTAAAAAGAAGGAAATAATTTACAGGACCAAAATAGAATAAATGCAGAAATTTTTGACAGATTCTACTTGCAGATGTGATTATCCTATTTATTTGGCTGTCACGCCTATTTAGCAATCTTGAGGTATAAGATTGCATGCGGCATGATTAGCAAATAAGAGAAAAGAAAACTAAGGCTTCATTTGGGGGACGGCTTTCTTAATGCTTCTTAAAACAGTTTTTTTTTTTACTATGAAAATTTAAATTTTTGTGTTAGAAAGCTGCTTTAAGAAGCAGTAAAAAAGCTGTCCCAAACGAAACCTAAGATTCAATAGGAAATATGAATTTAGGATAAGAATGATGCATGTATTTTGCAAAGCATGTACTTGGAAGCCAATACAAATGGAAAAGGGAAGGAAAAAATCAAATTTTTTTGAAGAAGGGTGAAATTACCTTGGCAGTCTCATAAGATACAACTTTATTGGCAGTAAGATCGCACTTATTTCCAACAAGAAGCTTGTTAACGTTATCACTAGCATAGCGGTCAATTTCATTCAGCCATTGCTTCACATTGTTGAAGCTTTCCTGGTCTGTCACATCATAAACCACCTGCAAAGTCAATTTAAATTTAAGACCGGTTTACTAAATCTAGATTAGGGTATATTTGGGGCGGCTTTTTTACTATTTTCTTTTTCAAATTATTGCAATTCTTTATTGCTATTTTTTATAAAAATTTATTGTTAAAGCTCTTTTTTTATAACCAAATTTACTATCCTACTTTTCAAAAAGAAAAAAAAAATTATAATGTCAAAAATAACTACTAAAATATTATTTTCCTCGTAATAATTTTACAAACCACCACAAATGAAACTTTAATTGATTATCAATGAAAGAGTAAACTAAGGACCCGGATTGCATACAATAATCCCATGAGCACCACGATAGTAGCTGCTGGTGATTGTTCTGAACCGTTCTTGCCCAGCAGTATCCCACTGTAACAAAAGAGTAAAGCATCTCAGCATTGAAAACAATTACTGTAAATGATATATAATTCAACATGCTCTGAAAAATAGGAAACTTGCAGAAATGTCATATTCCAACATATTGATAAAACAAGCAGCGTAAAACACTCAAAAGCCTTGTTCAAAAGAGAGAAATTTTCTCCTGTAACATATGAGAATATTTCAGTCAATATTGAGCGCTTTTTTGCAAAATTTTCAGATATGCAGACAACATCGCAATCCACAAACTCAAAAAGAACTAGCAGCAAAAGGTGAAACAAATAAAACTAACAATTATGATCGCTCTAACTTTACTGCTCTACAATTCATCCTATAGATCCTTTATGAAATCATACAAAATATATTTCCTTTCCTCTTTGAAAAAAGAAAACCATTACAAGTGTTATAGCTTAACCTTTAGGTCCTTTACTATTACCTCTATAACCATATGTTAGACCGGTCCAGTCGGACAGAGGCGGAAGAGTTCCGCCTCCCTGTACGCACCAACTGAACCACTTCAGCCAATAGAGCAATTTAGGTAGGATTTTTGAGTTTGGAGGAAAATTTGAATGCAGGGACTGTTTAGAGATTTCATTTTGGATTGTATGCATTATTATTATTATTATTATTTAAACAGTTTGTTTTCTTGAATTTTGTTGAAATTTGAGAACTCTTATTTTCTTTGGGCTTTAGCAACGTCTAGAGATTTCGGAGAGAAAGATCCTCCTCTCAAATAAAGGATCAATTGTATCTTGCTATTTTCTTCTGTTAGTTTGTATTCTTGCAATAAAATTTCTGTTTTTATCTGATTTTCTGCTGGATTTGTGGGGATTTCTCGTTGTTTTTGTCAAGATCGTTAGGTTTCACTTGAGATCTTCAAGTGTTTCCTAACACCATATCACTCAAATCGATAACTTATTATGAAAATGCCAATCAGTCAACTCCCATTACAATAGCATAACCATAGATGAGTTAACTAACCCTCGACTTAGACTTGAAGACTAGACCAGATCAAGCAATAATTAAATTAGCAAAGATTTTCAGGTCCATAAGCCTAAATTAACCTCCCCAACCGAATCCAATTTAAGCACAAGAAGGTTTGTCGTTTGATGATTCTACCTGACCTAACTCAACTTTATTTGACGGGGACATAGCATTCACAGGGAAGGTAAACTTGGGAGCTATTTATTAATTAAATATCCCTTTAAAGTAACACAACCAGACCAGTGTGACATCTTCATAAGAGCTAATAGATTAGGATGTTATATCAATAATATTAAAATTTTGGGTAATCCCAGTAAATATAAAGGTTTATGATGGTACAACAGTAAATATAAAGGTTTAAAAATTCTAGCTAATAAAATGCCAAACAATTCAACTCACAATTTGAAGCTTAATGGTCTTCCCGTCTTGCTCAACAGTGCGTATTTTCTACAATACAGATATAAATGCCATATAATTATCTTAAAAAAAACATAAAATTAAATAAGGAACAGCATCAGAACAAATGAATTATACTTACAAAATCAACTCCAATGGTGCTGATATAACTCTCCAAGTACGAATCATCCTAAACCCAAACAAGAAACTAATTAGGGCTCATAAATAAATATAAATATATATATACTAAAATTTTGTTTGAGCAGATGTAGTTATTTATAAAAGCTATTGTATAATTGTTGCAGAGAAAATAGATTTTTTAAAAACCGTTGTGAGTATTAAAAAAAAAATCATTTGAAAAAGTCAAACAGCTTTTTTATGGTTACCACGCTAGTATATGTTATTATAAAAAAAAAAAATCATCACATATATTTCTAAAAAGAAATTTAAAAAATTGTAGCCAAATAGGACTATGAGTGATGTCTAAAAGGTAAAGCTATGAGAAAGGTGCCCTAAGAGCATATATAAATATAAATAACATTTAGCATAATATCAAATTTCCATTAGAGTTTATTAGATGTGTAAGATAAACAATGAGTAGGGCCACTACTTAAAAAGTTAGATATGAACTTATATCATACCCACCAACACAATGTGGTAATTTGCAAATAGCACCTTGTAAATTTAGAAAAAAATTACGAAAATAAATCGAAAATCCAATCTTTAGTAATATTGCGATACTTTCCCAAGATAACCATAGCACTGGTTCCAGGTGTTTGCCAAGCTAATCATATTAGTTTTATTTTTATATTACTCAACGAACCTACATGATAAACTTGAGAGGCAGCTAAAATTATGATGAACAAAGGAAAATTAGTTCATCAAAGGTAGGGGTGTAAGTGAGCCGATCCGGCTTGTGAGTGTGACTCAAAGACCTTCTCTCACGTGACTGCAGCGGTGAGCCGACGGCAGGTAATTTCTTCCCTTTGGTATTTTCTTCTTTCTTTTACTGGTTTTATTTTCTCCTCTTCTTTCTTTAGTTCATCTCCTTCCTTTTTCTTTCTATGTTGATTTCTCAAATCAGCAAAGTAAGGGTTTTGTATTGATTTCTCAATCTCTGTAGATTTTTCTTTTTTTTTTCTTGTAGATTTTCTCAAATCAGCGGTGAGCCGACGGCATATGATTTTTCTTCTCTTCTTTTTTAACATAGATTGACGGTTTGAGGCTTGAGCTTATTTTTTCTGGAAACAGCAAACTTCATGTCTTCTCTTGAATTTTTTTATACATGAATTGATGGATGTATGGATGAGTGGATTTTCTTTTTCTTTGGGTGATTTTTGTTTAGATATTCTGATAAAAAACTTTGCTGAAATTTTTTTGAAAAACAGATCACCTTGTTATCCTATAGCAGAAAAGTGAGGGTTTTCTGAATGTATAGTGCAGAAGATATATTTATCTATATTTAATATAACCAGTTTTTCCTTTTGCTTTTGTTTACAAGCATTTTTTGACCTCTCTTTTAACTCTTTCACGGGAGGAATCCCCTTAGAGATTCAGAATCTGACCAAGCTAAATTCATTATATTTACAGAACAATTATCTCTCAGGTCCAGTTATATGCAAAATTTTCTCTCTTATGCATTGAATTCTGCTTTCTTATAGGTTGTACAGTTCTCTTATAAGTTTGGGAGCTCATGCGGTTCACAATTACTTGCTTCGTCATTCCGTAGATTTTTTATGTTGTCCATCAAAAACATATGCTGGATAATTTTGCTTGTTAGGTTTGAGCGGTAAGATTGCTTATGAATTTTGTCTGTGGAATATTTTGTGGATAATAATTTTCTTTTTACCCCATTTCTAAAATAATTATTATTTTGCTTTTATCTTAATTTACAGGTTTTTATCATATTAATTGACACCGTAGAGATGGAAGAATTTGAAGAATATGGAAGTATGGAACATCCAAATATCAGACATATAAGAAATATATAGTTCTATCTTCTGTTCAGTTTTTACTTATGCTGTATTATGAAACTTCTTAATAAGTTATATGATTCCAATTGTTTTTTTTGTAATGATGATATGAAATGCAAATTGGTCAAATTTTTATATTATTGAAAGTTCTATTACTATATTTTTCAAATTTTTATAGTACTTAACCATATAAAAATTTTAGTTGATATTGATCAAATTTTTAAATAAATTTTTTTAAAGAAATATGATTGCTCATAATATATTGACTCGTCTACAACTTACATTTTTTTTTAAAGAAATTAATAGTTAAAGTTCTAGACGTTTTATGATTATTTAAGTTATTTTTTTATTGTTGAAAACAAATTTTAATTAAGTGATAGAAGAAAAAGAATTCTAAAAAAAAGAAAATTTGGCTTAAAATTAAAGACTCATGCCAATTAAAAGATTTAAAAGTTGAGTTCGAGCTTTCTAAACGAGCTCGATCTCGAGCTCGAGCTTTTTAAACGAGCTCAAGCTTTCGAGTCGAGCTCGAGCTTGATATTTTATAAACGAGTCGATCTCGAGCCCATTAATCGAGCTCGAGCTCATTAAGGATCAAACGAGCCAGGCTTGATAAGGCTAATACTCGACTCGACTCGTTTACACCCCTAATCAAAGGCTTAAACACAGGAAGATTGACAGGAGTTAACAAATATTTAATAGAGGAAAGCAATAAAGATGTTTGCTACTTAACTGCAAATCTTAGGAGGAGGCATGATTTGCCAACACCAGAGTCTCCAATAAGCAAAAGCTTGAATAGATAATCACTGTCAAATAAACAAATTAGATTTAATATCTCTATCTGCGACTTACTTTTTTATATAAATAGCGTTTGCAATATTTTCAAAAAATGACAACTTGAAAACAAGCTCAATACAAATTCTGAAAAACTTTAGTTGCATATTCAACATAGAAATGGAGGGGTATTGACCTCAATTATGTATGCATGCATAAAATTTCATACCAACAATAAAAATGATATGCTAATTCATGTATAGAATCTGGTAAAATTAACTATTTCCATTTTCAACCCACCTGTGTTAGGGATCTAACTCATTTGTTTAGATGAAACTACTAAATTTATAGTTCCCATATGGAAAACTACATGAGAAACCGTTTAATGCGCATTATTATGTCATAATCATGCATATTTAAATGGTACAAAAAGAAAGTTTCATTACAGTAAAAAATAGTCATCTTCTAAGTAAAATGAAAATATTTGTAAAAAACATCTGACATCCAGTTAAAGGAACATGCAAAGAGTAAGAGTTATGTAGAAAAGAACTCTATTGCAAATGTTGACATTTAAAAGCTAATCTTACCAGAGTATGGCAATAAATTAATACATGAAGGCTAAAGATTGCAATACTTGGGTACAAAAACAACAACAACAACATCAAGCCTTTGTCCCACTATGTGGGGTCGACTACATGAATTATTTTTCTCCATTGTGTCCTATTAAAAATCAAATTCTCGTTTAAACCTAAAAAAGAGAGATCATGTATAATATTTTCTAACCAAGTTTTTTTAGGTCTACCTCTACCTTTCATAACATAAGTCAAATCTAATACCTCTACTTTCCTGACCCGGTCATCAGAAGGCCGCCGTTTTATGTGCAATACTTGGGTACAAAAATACTTATATATATATATATATATATACACACACACACGTGCAATATCCACTTGAATCAGCTACTATGCCATCATACAAATTTTTTATCAACATAGATATAATAATATCAAACAATTTTCATAAAGCTTCACTTATCAAAATACATTGAGATTTGTTTAGAAATATTTAAAAAAACTGCTTCAAGTTAGTTAGATTGCTAATTAACGTGTCACTCACTTCATTCTCATTTAAGATAAGATGTCGAATAAACAAAGAGAAACTTCATATATTGATTAATTTGCATCTTATAGTAGGAACACGAACAATTAAAAACTCAAATCCAGGCAGGAAGATCATAATGGCAAGACGGTAAGATTAGTACACTAAGTTAGATTAGAACCAAAAATTCTTGAAAACGAGATGAAAAAAAGGAAATCCTTTGTCTAGTAACATGCTTGATAAAAATAGTTATTCAAGTTAGGAGTGTCTAAATAAAAAAAAATGGTTGCACTGAAACAAATGTCAATATAGTACCACAATTTGGAGTAAGACCTAAGAAATTAGTATGTCAGAGTGATTAAAACCAATGAAAGCTAACAATCCTAAGAGATATTGATCCAAAACAAAAACTATGTATTTTGTGATCCTTTCTGAGTGCACAGAGAAAATTTGTTATGACTTATGATATGGAGCTTTAAGAGGTTGTTCAGTTATTCATATGGACTCCATGTTAACCCTTGCTATAATCCTACTAGTTGAAACTCATTAATCACCCAATAATTCTACTACTTGTAAATGCCCCGTTAGATATATTTTAATAATTTCAACACTCATTAATCTAAACACCTGAAAAAGTTAGAGCAACAATTCACAAGCATGAAGAGCTAGAGCATACCAATACAAAATGGAAAATAAATAAGAGAGACATGTTTTGGACATCGGAAAATTTTACAAGAAATACAACGTAATGGCAAAAGACTTATCAAATGAGAAGAACATTCATATTTCTAAGAAGCATTCACATATATTGAACTAAGCACAAGTTACAAGAGTTGTAACACACATTTTGGTTCAGCAGATAATTATTCTAGATAGCAGTGAAAGTCAATTAAATACGTTATAGATAATACTAGCCGAGAAAGGGAGTTTAAAACCAAGATGACGCAAAATTGATGAATGAAGCGATCAGCCTTGTATATATCTTCTGAAGCAAAAGAACAAAAGAGCCTTGTTCTTCTACCTTTAAGCTTCCAGATCCAGGTCAGAAACTAACATCCATATTTAAATGCTGCAAGCTATCAATGAAGCTGTACGATTTTAAACAAAACGTTGCTAACAATTTCCACACCGTAAAAGAACCTCGGGTCACAGCTAAATGTAGACAAACCATGCAGAAGAACCAAAAATTTCGACTACCAGTTAACCACAATCGACATGGATTTAAAACCCTCTTCATTGTATTCAAAGCAAATAGAAATAATAATAATAAAACAAGAGATAATCGCGAATTGGAATTCAAGCACGCCGCGTAAACCGTAAACCACAGACGTTACCCACAACACCATTTGAAGCCCAGATCTCAAATCAGATAACCAGATCTCCACAAAAGATACACAAAATCATGATCAGATCAATAAAAACACGATCAAACTTGCAACCATTAATTCGCAATCGCCAATTGAATTTAAAACCTAAATCGTTCGATGATCATAAATAAAAGTTCCCCTCCAGATCTAAATAATCAGCCCGGCAAAACGATCTAATCCCATTTTCAGACGCGAAACCTCCAAAAATTAGGCAGAAAGCAGGAGATTGAATCTAGAACGACTTACTACTCTTGATTCATGACGGCAAATCGAGGGAAACGCTCCTCCGGCTGTTTTCCCCTCTTCGGTGGGATTCTAGCAAAGACAAGTTTTCCCTGGAACAGGAATCTGATCAGAAAGAGAGACAAAGAAGCCCGGAGAATGGGAAGGATCTGGTGTATGTCATATTTAGATCTTATAAATATAACTTACTTCCTAAGGTATGCTAATAATAATCATTTAAATTTTTATGCTCAAATCATTATTAATTTTAATTTTTAAGCATCCTTATTACCTAAATTATTTATAAATGAATTTAAATTGATTTAATAATTACAAGCTATTTTAATTAATTCAGTAATTTGTCCATTGCAAGTTACTACTACAACAACAATAACAATAACAAACTTTTATCCTCCTACATGTAGTTGATTACATGAATTTTTTTTCTCCAATATTTCTTTTAAGGAGAAATTATTCCGTGTGGAGTCCGGATGGTTCCGAAAAGAACTGTCCGGAGAATTGTCAGGACTGTGAGTGTACAAACTATATAGTTTCTATACACTGTGCATAAATTTGTATACAGTGTGTACATTCACATGCCCGAACAGCTCTTCCCATCCGAACTCCGTGCATAATAATTTATCCCTTTTAAGAGTCAAATTCTCATTTAAATTTCATAAAAATGTATTTTTAATTTGTTGTCAAATCCTAAAACCTAGATGAAAAAAATAAAAAGTTGCCAACATAAAAATTTGCGAACAATCATGATATGAATGCTTTCATATATTGTGTCACATACTAACTAGCTATGGAATAAAAATTTCTACAACCTATCTAATGATTTTCAACTCATATTGCAAAACATATTAATGCAAATAAATTATTGCTTAAAAAACATGGAAAAATAAATTAACAAGTTATGTACTTGTACTTGATTGGCCGTCCACGCTTAAAACAATATATTTAAGATTCATTTGGGATAGCTTTCTTATTGCTTTTCAAAGCAACTTTTTAATATTAAAACTTTTAGTTTAAATCATTTTTTGTTTTAAAAAACTGCTTTAAAAAGTAGTAAGAAAGCTGTCCCAAATGAAATATTGATTTGCACCTAATAATTTTGAGATGACACAACAAAATATAAGACATCAATGAACACAATCTGAAGTAAAATGTTTACAATCTCAACCTTTTGGAACAATGTACAGCATATTTGAACATCTATAACACATTTCCTAGTTTGCATTTGCATCAAAAGCAGACAGTTAAGTTGAAGCCACAGGCTCCAGCAAATCACACTCAAAGTTTGTATGTTCTAAGAATGGAGCCAGCCTCACAAACCAAGGTATCATGATATTGTTCCTAAATTCACACACAACTGGATTATCCCACTGTAACAATGAGCCGACGAGGTTAGCCCGGGCTGTAACCATAAAGATTCGCGCCCACCGCTCCTCGCCGTAAGCTCTGAGAGCAGCTTCGACCGACTCGCCGCCATCTTTCAATGCAGCAGAAAGCTTTCCTGCAAGAACAACTGAGTCTTCTAAAGCGCAGCAAGCACCTTGACCAAGATTGGGTGTCATTGGATGCCAAGCATCGCCGACGACCACCACGTTATCGGTCGATGCGGCCGGGCTAAAACCAGGCCAAAGCCATCGATCGACTAATGGAGTCTTGATCACAACATCATCTGGTGTATTGTGCAGGACATCTAGGAGATCAGAAGGCCAGTTTCTCATAAGCTCAAGAGCTTGCTTTTTAAGAATGCTTGGGTCATCAGTTCTAGGCCCTGTGCAGAAACAAATTAAGGGTGGTGAAATATGCGTTGGTTAATATGGAATGATATCAGAAAGAAAACTGAGTTATGCGATATCAACATTGTAACAGGTATGTTCACCATTAAGAATCATATTAATAAAGATGTATACTTTTAATGAATATCTAGTTTATCAAAACGTAAACCTGTCAAAAAATTGTTGCTTCTAATATGTACCGAAGAAAAACAGGTTATAAAATGGTAAAGGGATGCCATAGCCTCAAAATCGGTGGGTTATAGATCTAGGAGTAGACGATCCTTTTTGGTAAGGAACTGAAATAAATCAAGGTTTAAATTAATTGTTATTATTTAATTTATTATTCTTTTTAAGAATTTGAATCATAATTTAACACAATGAAGAAAAAAGATTAATATATCTGACACCACCTAGTGAAATAAATGCTTTTTATTGTTGTTGTTATTATATATACTTATACAGCTCAAAATATTTGCATGAGGAAGGAGCTCTTCTTGAATTAGGAAGAAGAAACCTTTCTTTAGCTTCTTGGAAGAGAGAGAGGGAAGAGAGGAGAGGGAGAGAACAACAGGAATCCAATTCCTTTATCAATGGGCTATTACAAGAGGGGGCCTTATTACCAGAGGCTCAAACCATCATCCTATAGTGCTTATTTATAAGCATTTACATATGATGTGATAACTCGCGGATCAACTTGATCTAAAATCGGATCACTACATAACAATCTCTACCTTGATCCGATTTTACGATCAGAGAATCACCTATGTGCCTGTTGCGATCTAACATGCTCCCTGCACTAACTCCATGAGCAAACCCACTGAACCAAGCCCAATCCTGCTCACGAATGGCCTCCACTGTGAGTTCCGATCCACGGTTCCAGCTCATGCTCTCGCGCATTCTAACCCACGACACTTGCGACCCTTGATGTTCCTTCCATGATCTGCACACTCCTGTATCGCCAATCTTCCCCGCGCATCCATGCGGGCTCCAACCTGCAACTTCGCACGAGCCACCAATCTAATTCTGAATCGCCGACCAACCCATCGCCCCAAGGTTCTTTATCTTATCGCTTTTGATCCACTACGCTGACACACAATAGCCTCTTTGCCTCCCGGACTCCACCCGAAGTCCAAGCCATGCGCAAAATCGGGCCTTCCGCACTCCCGCACGCCAGTGCAGCAAACTTGTACTGCCCGCATGGCCACCCCACGCCCAGCGCGACAGCCCGAGCCCCATGCTCTACCTGGATGCATTCGCAAGCGCATCGCACATCTGCGCTCTGTGTTGCAGTCCACATTACTCTGCTTCGCACCCCACGCAAGTACGACAACATCAGTGCCTGCGTGCTCCTGCCCTCTTTGCTCCTGCCTTGGATCATGATCTGAGCCCGCTCAGGCTTCCGCCTCCCTCTGCGAACGATCCCGAGCCCGAGTACGCCACCCCCTCTGTTTGACTCCTTCCTCGTGTATCGACCACGTCCGAATCTTCCACGCCCGATCACTCGAGTCAGCCTATGCTTCCTTCCTCCTTCCATGATCATCTCAACGAGGCTCTGATACCACTTGTTAGGTTTCTTGCCTGAGAAAGAAGAGCTCTTCTTGAACCTTCATGCAAGAGAGGGAGGAGAGGGAGAGAAGCAACAAAAAGGAGCTTTTATTCAATTGAACTTAACGAGGGCTATTACAAGAGGCAGTCACTTTTACGCCTAATCATGTTTTATATGTTTATACAGCTCAAAGATTGTTGTAATTATATATGTTTATGCAGTTCAAAATATGCAAATCATGGAGGAATTGCATGTAGTGAACAACTTAAAAAGCATAACAATCGGTTATAGGATTACTGTAGTCATACTTGGTTATGTCAAGCATATTTTGAATGTTGATGGCAAAGGCATGTGTTTAACGGAAGACGTCCTTGGTGATTTCGCTTGCATGAAAGCAACATTTGACTCTAATGATGAAATTCAAAATATAGTGATTGACATTAAAAATATAAAATAACAATAATTATTGATAAGATCACCTCCTCATCATCGACTTCTTCCTATTGAAATGAGAGAGGTCTATAATTCTCTTGATGGCATCCATAAGGAGAAAATAAGAGATGCATCAAACCCTTAGATTCCATCTTCTTTTAAAGAGCATCATGAGGCAGAAACTATGAAGCTAGATAGGGTGTGAATTTGATTTTACGTTTGGTAGACACCAAATTTAAAAATCAAAATCATATTTGGTCCAAATATTATCTAAGATTTTCTTGAATTTAAAATGAATTTGAAATCAAACTTCGATAAGATAAACATGAGGAAATTGAGCACCACTGTGGCCATTTGATTGGCTTATTATTATTTAGCTCTACCTCTTATATTGCCTCTTCATACAGTTCTTCCTCTGCTTTCAAGATACAAAATAGCAAACGAAGATCATTCAATTGATTCACGTCTTCTAATTTAGTCATCCAAGATCAAATCATGGACATTATTAAACTGTCTTTGTAGACTTAGTTGCAAATAGTTGTCACAATTCTAGCCCAACTCCTTCGAAATGATAATAGCAAGCTTAGTGCCTGACTAGTAATCAGATTGAACTCATTAATATGCACTGCTACGAAAGCGCCTTCAATCATCCTAAAATCAACAAAATTCTCATTTAATGTACAATGTTTATCGCACAAGATTTTGACTTTTGAGTTGTAGCTACCAAACTCAAAAACAAAATCAACTTTGGTTCAAATCTTGTCCAAGAACTAAAAATTTAAAATAACTTTGAAATAAAACTTACATGAGTAAAATATGGTGAAATTGAGCTACACAACTGTTAACAAAATATACAGAAGAGAAGTCATTCAAGATTAATGAACAAACCTGGAGATGGGTTGTTGAAGCAGATAAACCAGTAAACTTTTGCTTGGGAGATGGGAACAAAACCTGCACGAAGACCCCTACCATAGATGTAGTTCACTCTTGCTTTAAATGGCTGGCCTTCAGGATAAAGTGCAATGCCACGAAAGGCGCAATGTCCAACATATTTGGGCTCTGAAAATCCCATCCATTTTGCAACTGGTGATCGAATGCCATCACAGCCTATCACAATCTATTGCAAAACTAAGCTTCAGATTTAAAAATTGAAAAAAAAAAGAAATTAATTAGGTTAGAAGTTATGCAAGGAAAACAAAAGCTTTGATGAATTTTATAGTTCTTCAATTTGCATTGAGATGAGCATAATATATGATTAATCAATTTAAACTTGTATTATATTCATCTCAAAGAAAATCTAATAACTATAAAATCCCTCATAATCAAATTTGGATCAGGATGTCCTTAACCTAAAAATTTTCCAACATAAAACGAATTGCTCAAAAAGAAGCAACAGCTAATTATAGGAATTAGAAGCCGCTGAAGAGCTTTGAACCAAAGTTGGAAAAATTAGGTGGCCAAATCAAGATTAATGCCACTAACGAAGCTGAATGTGAGTTTGAAAGTAATAAGGAGAGAACAAAGCATAAAACGTCATTAGATTCCACATGCTCAAGCAACAGATAAGAGTATGAAGCAAGACAAGAGTCTTGGCAGTGCCAGTCCACGAATAATTACACGAAGGATACGAGCTGTCTTGAGAGAAGGACATGGTTATAAATGAGAGCAATAAAATTTTAATTTCAAAGAAGAAAAAGTGGATTAGACCCTAAAGAAGCTATGATCTGCACGAAGAATATCTCTAGCATTGATCTTGAGGAGGTGGTCAAAGAACCATGGGTGATTGGAATAAGATAAAAAGTGATAAGCACTGCAAGTCATTGCAATCATGTAGATCTGCAAGTGAAAGAAGCACCCAAAGCTTCTGAAAGTTCAATGGATGATTGTGAAACCAATTGAACTACGGAATGACACACCAAGAAGCAGGTAAATTGATATATTAAAAATATTTTTCAAAGCTTTTTAAATTAAACAACCAAATTCAATTTTAAAGCGAAAGCAAAATTACAATACAAAACAAACACTAAATATTTGTTTTTGACTTTTTAGAAAAATAAATAACAATTTTGTTTGTTTTATATATTTTTTTTAATTTCTTTTTAACACATAGACCAACTCTAAAACAATCACAATGATAATAATGCTCAACCAAAGTAAACGCCATAGAAACTAAATGTGAAAAAGAAAAAAATGCAAATCAAATTTTTATAGTAGTTAGGTCAACTTGACCAACGTCCACTCCCCAATGTCCTTCTCTTCAGTTATGAAACTAAAATCTTAGTGACTCTCTATGTTGCACCGATACGGATACGGCGACATGGATACGACACGATACGGATACGGGACACGTCAATTATTAAAAATACAGGATACGGGTACGGCGCGGACACGACATTATAATTTATAAATCATACATAAAAATTAAGAAAGCAATCAAAGCATAATATTTGAAATTACAAAAAAAAAAATGACAACAACATCATTTGTAGCCTTGTAGTTTATAATATCAAAATATAAGTAAGCATTAAATGTCTAGTGCAACAACAAAATCATAAACATAAATTATCTAGCACATGAAGTGATGTGAAACTATCTTGCAATGAAATGTGAATTGCACTTAAAATTAATAGAAGTATTGAATTAAAGTTTGCTTCCCAAAACTTTATGCGTAATCAATTTAAGTTCAAGAATTCAAAGATGAGTGATTGAGTAACAACAAGAAGTCACCGTCAAAGATTAGAAGGCCATTCAAAATAAAGTCAAAATTTCAAATAATGCGAATAGCTAAAATAACAAAGCCCCAAATTTAAGGTTTAGATCCTTCACCTTAGGATCCGTCACTCAATTTGAAGTGGAGGCTAGCGGAAAAGAACCGTGAGCAGGCTTAGCAACGCCACTAGTAGACAGGTGATCTTGAGAGGACTTGTCGCCGGGATGGAGGTCGGGTTCGGAGGAGCGGGTGGACGGCTTTCGATGATCCACGTATAGACGGA